GCTTGCTTTTACTAAAATCGTTTATTTTTAATGTCTTGAATATAGCTTCAGTCGTTGTTGGATTATTATTATCATAGAGCAGAATAATATCGTGCGTAGACGATATACAAAGTTGTTGTTCAGGAAAATTAAATACTGTTCAACAGCGGAAGTCCGGATCTTCCGTAGGAAGCGCAGCTACGGCGTAACATTGCTAGCGTAATGGTTCATTTAACATGGAGTGGTTGGCTCCATCCGGTTAGGGAGAGGCAAAAATATTGCCCGTCGATAGTGAGGAAGCATTTCCGTGGCATGGGGTGCGTTTTACCCATAACACTCGTAGCTGAGAAACTACACATCCATACGTCGCACGATCAGGAAGAAAAGGTGAACTCATATACGAATCGATACCACACCTTTCTATCCGTTAAAATAATAGTAACTGAACTCCACAGGAGATACAGAAAGGTGCTTTTATCTCAGATGGCAACACTAGTGTGTCTTTAACATCCTCAATGTTATCAATTTTAAATTTTTTTTCAAATTTTGATTGTATTGGCTGGAGGAGGAACGGATTATTGGAATTTAAAAGTACGTGTCTTTGCTAAACGAATCGGGCAATTTCGCAGGGCAATGGCCTACCCGACGTACAAATCGATAGCCGTGCAACTAACGGTGCACTACCTCGATGCGCCCTATGGCTAACATTGGTAAACTTTGCTGCATAAATAACAATGGCAAAACCCCGCGATGTATGTAAACGTAAAATCTTACTGAAGCTAAACATTACGACGACATTCTTGCCATTAGTAGTTGGCTCTATTAACGAGCTCGCGGTAAGAAAACGAGAAACAAATCGTCCTCCACCGTTGATCCACATCGTTAAGATCAACGTTGAAAGAACCACATTATTAGGTTCCTGCAAAAAGGTCTGGGAAAATAGCTCTATCAGATCCGTTATGCTAATGCAGGAACCAAGAGTGAGGTGCAAGAGAAATACGCGCGAAGATAGGCTTGAAAATCACTGCATCTCCACGGCGTTGGGTCCGATTAGAGGAATTAATGTTTGCCTGTTATCAGCGTATAACAGAAACCAGCTTTCTTTTCCTGCCTCTTCTCCACTTACACGCAAATCGTGTTTTTGCATTTTACTGAAAATCCTTACGATTGTGGTCATGGTCCGACTTGCGAATGTATTAGACTTCATCATCCGAAGTCGCAGGGACTAAGGGGATTTGACGGGAAAAGGAAGGGATGCGAGAGTAGCTGGACCGTATTGTGCTCTGCGAATCTATAAACATCCCTTCTCTGCGGAACTGTCCATCTCGACTTCGGCGTCCATGTTCTTCTTCCACCTCCCCGTTCTGTCTGCGTGTCGCAGGAAGGGGAAGGGACGTGGTGGAGACTGCAAAGTCGGTTCTCGGCCTCGAGGAGACTGCTCGCCAGCTGTTATTTCTGCATTCCAGTAAATCGAGTCTGGAATCCAATCTGCCTGTTTGCTACTGTATCCAAACTACCCCGCAGCCAACCTCCAGCGTTACCTCTCTCCAGCCTCCCCCGCGCCCACTTCTCTTTTACGGTTGCTGCAGGTCCGTCTACTCTCTCTCGCACACGAACACATACACACACGCGCGCGCGCGCGCGCGCTCGCGCACACGGCTGCGTATATATGTGCGCACACATTGTGAGATACACGAAGCTGTACGCGAACCCTTCCTCCTCGTTTCGTCCTTATTCGGCCTCGCTCCAGAACGCACAAATTTTGCATGCACGCGAGTTGCCTTGCTTTTCGGTAATTTGACGTATGCTTGCTTGCTTGCTCGCTCGCTTGTGGCTCTCATAGGGCCAAAATCATTTCGCGACAAGCTTCCGACGTGGACTTCTTCCACGATTTCATTTGCAAGTAGCTAGCGAAACTGTTGCAACGGTAATTCCTTTTGACAAACAGTCGTGAAGTTGAGAGTTAAGTTAGACAATTTTGTTTGCCACTTATAATTATTTTTAATGTGTAATTTTTGTAAGTCATATGAAAATAAAATTTTGTGTAGGTATGTACTACTTTTGCTCATTTTTTATAAGTATTTAATTTTTAAAACGCGAATCCTGCTATAGAATTAAACAAGTATCCTGCTATAGAATTAAAAATAAAAGAGAACAAAAAGGTTTTCAAATTCGTGAAATACAATGCAGCCCAACTATTTTCGTATTCCTTCCTTCTTCCTTCAAATCTTCTTAGACTTTGCGATTTCGGATAATAAAGTCTAATACACTACTTACAAGACGGACTTTGATTGTCATACAAATTTTCAAATCTCGCATAAAAATCCTTTAATTATGATTGAAAACCGATACAATTTTAAAGTGACAACTTTTTATGAAAGATCATTAAAAACCGCGATATAATTCAACCTCTTGTTTTCTATCACGAGAGAACATTATTACTACGCCATTAATAGTTAACTCGTCAATAATAACGACATAGCAGGCAGCTCGATAACGCTGTCGTGTCTGGACTCACGCTTCGGCGGATCGGAACGAAAGGGTAGACGGATCGATTGTAAACATTTCATTATAACGTACGAGCGGAAGTGGGCGGTAGAACGGACCGGTCGGGGTGGCGGCGGGATAATCCTACGATAATCCGGGAATCATTCTCGGGAATGAATCGCTCTATCGATCCGGGGGTATATAATTGAAAAAGTTGTTCCTTTGCACCTCTCCTCTTCTCTCTCGATCCCTCCCCCATGAACGTGCCCGCTGTCCTTCACAGTCGCGCTCGCCTTTTCCATCCCTTGCGAAGGTAACAGGCGATATAACGACCCCTTCCGTAGCTCGCATTATGGCCATTTTAAATTTCCGGTAGCTCATCGTCAAAACTTGGCAATCTCACGTTCTATATATATTGAATTTTGAGATGACTTTGTTTCACAGTATTGTCCTTATAGCTAAACACACAGAACGTCTCGGAGGTCGCAGCTGCCGGTAGATTAAATTGCTTAGAGATCCCAAGTGTAAGCTCATTTTGCATTCGCCATCCGAAGTTCCTAATTTACAACGTCAAATATTTTAGGAACCAACGGCTACGATATTAAAGTGTTGCTAAAATAAAGTCTATATATAAAATAAAGAGAAACGCACGACTGAATTACCGAAGATTGATATAGGAAAACTTCTTTTCGGTATATTACAAATATCGATTTTTTTTTATGTATAAAATGATTCGTTTCTTTTCTGTTAATCGTAGTATTAGTCGAAATTACTGGGTGATTCTTTTTTCGATATCTAGTGCGATATGTGGAAAGTTGAATTGCTGAGTTGCAGCAACGTGAAGCGGGAACGAAAACGATGCCACGCTGACTGGCATATACGCGAAATAAGGTCATTCACAGTTCACTGCAACTCAATTTCAGCGATAGTTACATGGTGGCCAAGCAACGTCGATCCCAAAGGAATAGTTGTTCTTTTCCGGTCATTTCGCTTATCTCCAGTCTGACATGCGTATATATGTACATGCACATGTTCACTTGTGGCCATATGCGTACGTACACGAAAAACTGTTACGTGTACGCGTAATCCCTTATCTCGCATGTATCGCACAGCTTCCTTACCTTGAAGAAATTTGTCAAGGACTATCGTCTACACAAAAAAGATTTTTCTATGACCAGGAATAAAGTTATTGAAAAAATTATTGGGGGAATTAGATATTATTCTGCACTTATTAAATTATCTAATTTAAACTTTCACGTGCTACTTCTTTCGTATCAAATATTGAACGCTCACTTAAAGTCTCCATTTTATGCTATTTTTCTATATATTTTAGCAAAACGCTATAAAAATATAATAAAATAATAATGTACATGACAATGGCAATTCCACTAGAAACGGTACGGCGTGCGCAATAACGAGTGTTATTATCACGACAGAAAGCTTATACAATCCGCGATACGATAAATCGCGGGGTGCGAAAACGCGTCCATTAAATATCGGCGCCGAGTGTATCGGCGAATCGCGATTTGTCAAATCATCCGCGCGGCAATAACACGCAAATTCAATTATGCGTTATCGATGTTTTGTTGCGTTGATAAGCCAAGAGGTCGTTAGGGGGGGGTTGCGTTGGCCTGGGCCTGTCGCTTTTTAAAAACTCTCGTTAAACCGCGTAATTAATTCGTGGCGCTCGCGGCGCACGAGACAGATAATTAATTAAACCGCAATATCCCGCCACGGATAAGGGTTTTATTGCCGAATTTATCATGGCGTTTAAATTCAACGAACTTGCACTTATCGTTCAGAAAACATTAATATAAATGACCTGAAACTTCAGATAACTACTGATATAGCATCAACATAATTGGATCTTGGATTATATTAAGCGATATTAATTGATTTTTGAGGGATCTTTATCCAAATCTTAGATATCATTTGTCATTAGACATACGACTCCCTTATTTCAAAAGATATAAAAGATATAAAACATTAAGATTTTTAAGTTACACTTATTATTTACTACAATGAATGAATTAGAAAAATAAAATAATATTATTCTATCAATTATTAAAAGTAATCTAACTTAACTTTATAAAAAATCATCACAACTTAAAAAGAGTAATTTTTGAAAAAGAATCATCAAAATCGCCACAACTCAGAAAGAGTTTCTGAGAACTATGAAATCAAAACGACAAAAATGATATTTAATCATATTAATAAATATTTAATCATATTAAGAAATATATTTTTGCCGATATTATTTAACTAGTAAATTAAATATGTTTCCGTCAAGTTGAAAAATAGTTTTCCCCCCTTTTCTAGGAAACTTAATTTCTTAAATTGTATCATTTTTTTAAATAAGAGAGCGATATTATAATAAGTATTATTGGATTAATTATTGATTATCAATTTTGTTTATTAAAATTTAAGAAAATATCACTATTTTGTTGAAATTAAAAAGAAATATTATATTATATTATATATAGATGATGTAAAAAAGATATATAGCGTATACTAGCCCAGAATTCTTGATCTGATGAAGCAATATTGTACGCTTGATGCAACTGTGATTTAAGCCGTGAGATCTCAAACTTTATTACAGGGATACGTTGTTTTAAAAGTTACTCGAACAAGAAAGTCGGGTTGTCATGGGAAATCTAGTGTGCTATCGTAATTCGAAAGCGATTGTCCGAATTTATGAACCCATTAGGCTGCTGCCAGACGTTCGACTAAAGCCGTTCTTGATTCCTGACGCTATAAAAGCGTCGCGCGGGCAATACTATTTCGTACTAGAATACTAGTACGTTGCAAATATAACATTTGTGTACGCGCGATTGCGTGTGGGGCATTTCTCTCTTCGCACATAGTAGATTTTCATCTTTCTTTTATTCTAAAATGGAATGGCTTTGTTTACTTTCCAGCAGTGAGCTCTATGCGCCCGATAGACAGCACTAACTGCATTCTGGTTCAAGATATCAAGGCTGTCACTCACGAAAACGCACACATCCACGATTCGATATCCACGCAGATTCCCACAGAAGGTAAATATCGAGCGGTATTAATTTGCATCTACTCTGCATGATGTAAATACTCTCGCGCACAGCGTCATACGCTAATTGCTTTTGGGAAGTGCGAGTGGATGAACATTTCATCGATATAATATCTTTAGCAAGGACTATATCCAAATATCATCCGCTGTAAAGATTTCATACTATGAGCTGTACTGAATACAATTTCAAAAGATAATTAAACAATTGAAGTACATTTGACACACTTGATATGAAGATAAATTGAGAGATATGAAGCAATAAAAAAAAAAACATAAAAAGAGCGTGATCTGCTCGACTTAAAATAAAAATATCTAACAATATTCTATTTATAAAATAATATTTTTATTTTCTTCTGAAAATAATACATTTAGAAAGAAAAATATGATATTCTCTCTTTTAGTTGTTTACTCGTCAAACTTATACACCATACAGTTTACATTTAGAATCTAAATTCTAAATGAAAGTCACAGTGTGGTATAAGTCAGAAAGAGATTTTTTTTATAAAAAGACTACTAGATTTTATTTACCATATAACTTTCCTAACGATTTGCTACTGTGTTATTCAATGTGTTACATCCTCGTGTTTCTCTCTCGTGTAGAATCCCTGCCTACGAGTACGGCGGAGCATTCGAGTGCCGCGGATAGCGCCGGCGATCAACAGAGCGATCCGCAGATCCAGCAATCGGCGCAGCAATGGCCAGCCGTGCTCGAGCTGCAGGCCTACAATGTCGCGCACTCTGCCATTATTCAGCCGTACCATTTTTGGAACACGGAGTTCCGTAACAAGCAGCCAGCTTTCATCAGGCTGAACTTGACCCTACCATGGGGTGCGAATTTCGCAGTGTATGGCAGACGGAACGTCGCGCCCAGCGTCACGCAGTACGATTTCGTGGAGTTCGTCAAAGGTGGCAGAGTGGTCCACAGATTGAAGAGGGACATCACTGCCGTCAGTTTTATGCAGTCCACCAGTCCGCAAGACATCCACGTGGAACGCGTGCCGCAACCGATCGCACTTTATCAACATGTGCTCATCAAGAGGACCATTGTGGAACCACTAATGGTCAATGTCAGTCTACTGCAGTACTTTGACACTGGCGACTGGTTCCTGTCCGTATATAATGATGAGTTGCAGCCTTACAAGGTTACTTTAGTCGTGACGGAAGCCGAAGGTGTTTCCACTACGTGTCCCAATGACTGCTCCGGACGTGGATCGTGCTATCTTGGCAAATGCGATTGTATAGACGGATATCAGGTGTGTTTTTGCAAAATTATCTTTAAATTAAATAAGAGAAAAATCCTATTTTTGGTCGAAGTGAATCTTAATAATATTCAATATGTAGATTTACAATTATATTTTTCATTTGTATAAATCGCACGCCGATTCAGTTTGCCGATTCAGCTCCTTTTATTTACCTCAGCAACAAAAAATCTTAAGAACATTTTTAAAAAATGGTTTTATAAAAAAAATTAAAATTTTGTTATTAGAAAACCGAAAATTAACATTTTTTTTGCACGTAAACGCAACTCACAAAGAGAAAAAAATTTTGTCCAGCTTGTAATTTTTTATTTGTAAAAATTACCAAACTCATAAAAAACACAAAAACATAATGACCTTTCGAATGTAGAGGCTTTAAGTTTTAAAATCCTTTTCTGAAATTAACATTTTATTAATTTTTAATAAATGTATTTTATATATAATTTTGAACTAAAAATACGATATTACTTTTCTTCCAACCCAATAATTATCTTTAAATTATTTGTCCATTTGAAAAAATTAAAGATTAAGGAAATCAAATTTTTGTGATTCCAGGGTGCTGATTGCAGCAAAAGCGTGTGTCCAGTTTTGTGTTCTTCACATGGACAATACGGTGGTGGTGTGTGTCACTGCGAGGAGGGTTGGAAAGGCGCGGAATGTGACATACCGTTAGGTGATTGCCAAGTTCCTGATTGTAATCAGCATGGCCAGTGCGTTAGAGGATCTTGCGTCTGTAATCCTGGCTGGAAGGGCAACTTTTGCGACGAACGTAAGTTGGGTTGACAGAGGATCAATGCATTTAGAAAAAGATTTGAGAAGCATATTTCGAGATATTGAAAATTTAAGAGTAATTTATTTGCTTCTAAATTTAATTTATATTTTCTTATATGGATGAAAAAGGGAAAAGGTCGACTATATCGGAATATCGGAATACTTTGAAAAGATCTGAATACAATTTAGGAGCGATGACGTTGCATTGCAAATGTGCACGACGTCACATATTTCAGCCTTAAAAACGGCTTAGCGGAAATCACGGATGACGGAAAACGTTTACCTCGAACATCTATTTCTGCTCCGGGATCGTTATTTCTTCATGTTTGTCACAGCATCATTAATTTTCCCATAATTCAAGCGTACGTCCTGGCCCTCTATCCGAGGAGATTCAAGATATTAGTAATGCAGAGTCCCCGTCGGTGGGAAACACAGTCGGCCTGTGTACAACCTATAATTAATGCACGCGGAGTTCTCCAAATTTACATATGGGTCAAGCCATGCCAATTCGGCGCGACAATTAGTTTCGTATTGTTTCGCGGGAATTTGAATAATACACGGGCGTATGCGCGCGCGCGGCACGCAGCTGCGTTCGATATGTTATAATTTCGCGTAGCCCCGGAACTTCCGGGGACTGAGTGACGCACGATATAAATGACGAGATTATTCGCCGGGAACGAGACACTTCGTCTCTGACATTCTCACGGTCCTCGTTAGAGATACGCTCGCCCGTCGCTTTTTCCTAAACGCAGGCGAAAACGGTATTAGTTCCACGTCAGTGGAATATGTCAGCTCCAATCGTAAGAACGATAAATTTGAGAAGCGAAAACGGATTTACATTAGTTGCGACGGCAAATGAGAACTAACTGGCGAATAAGAATCCGAATCAAAAGTCATTTCTTTTAAAGAGTTTCTTTTTTTAGTAAGAGTTTTTTTTTTTAGAAACAATAGCAATCTCTGTATTATATTTTATATATTATATTTGCATATACTTAATATACTTAATATATGCATAATTTATTTTATGATATATTCAATTTTTGAAAGATTTACTTAATTATCAAAATGACGTAGAGTTGGGCAAATTATTCCAATAATTTTTTATTTAATTTACTATTCAAATAAAATTTTATTTATTATTTGCATTATTCTCATTATTATTTTTTTTATTATTACTTGCAAAAGAAGCTCTCCAACTCGAATTAAAAATATATATATTATAAAA